ATGTAAAGCAATTGTAAGTTTTTAAGAATAAATTAACTACTAGTATTGAATGAAAAATAAGCCTTGAACAATAGGGATACTGGGAGCTTAAATGTTTATGTACCTTTGAAAGGTTTTTAAAAATCAAACTTAATAATTGGAAAAGCTCTTAAGTAATAAGAGAAACAAGTAAGTTAATATTTATCAGTTTATTACACTTCTGCACTTACAGGGGGGATTTTATCAGGAGCATTAGGAGGGTTGGGTATTGCTGTCTCAGCCTCATCTGGGTGCAGATTACTCGAGGCGTCTAATAACTTCTGCATCGGCCATTGGTAAATTTGTTCAAAATCGTCTTCTGTAAAGTGTACATGTGGTACATTTAATAAATAATTTTAAAATGCAAACATGGGTGATGATTATAGATTCTGAATATAATCAGATTAAATTACCAATGAGAGGTTTGGGACATTAAACTGAGACATAAACTTCTACTTTATGTTCATTTATTGTTGATTCTACAGAAGGATTGACATTTGAAATAAGTGGAGTTCATTTATCTTCCTGTTTCCTTGTTGAGGGTAAATTCTCCCACCAAACCTTGTCCTCTTCCTTGTGCATGAAGTGTTGTATCTGTAACATTTAAAGAACATTTCCATATCAATAATTTTTTCTTGTAATTACAGTACATTTATGCATAAAGCATAAGTATAGTAGCTTGAGACAAATTTTAGTAGAAATATACCCTAGCTATTTGTGTGACCTTCAATAAAGAATACCTTCCGAATCCCTGCCGACACTTTGTCCAGATCCGCCTTTCCATAGTCTGGTTTGATACTAAGGGGGCTGTCTTCTGGTATTGATTTCAGTACAATCCCAGTACCTGGTCTCTCCCAAGTCTAAAATCAAGGATTACAGTTACAGTTTTCAATTAGTAAAGGTCAACAGTACTATACCAAGTAGCAGTCAACAGTACATATTGTTAGTACCTCAGTTAAAATACTCCATTCTAATTGGTTAATTAAAAGTCAACAAGGTACTGTTACTGTTACTAGGTACTGTTGACCACTACAAGGTTCAGTTGACTGCTACTTTAAAAAAAATAAAGACAATTTTGAAAAAAAAAAATTTTGAAGAAAACTTTTAAACAATTGAAAATCCTTTTGCATAATTGGTGAAAATTGAAATTATTGAATATCACTTTTAAAGAATTTATACTTTTTAAAATATGATATCTTGATCCACATACCAAACATATCTTAACATGAAATTCAAATATATAAATCTTGCAACCATGGGATTTTCGGACTAACAAAACAATTGTTAACCTCTCTATTTGGTCAACTGGCAAAAGTGTGTATACTAGATTCGTACCTCAACTCTAAACATTAACAGTACTATTGACCTTGATCTCTGGTCTCCGTCAACAGTACTTTCAAGGTTTACAGCATCGGTATACATTTTGCCAGTTGTCCTCAGGAGAGTCTACAATTGTATATTGTTCACTTTAATTGACCAATCAGAATTGGGTGTTTCAACTTAAGTACTGACAATATACATTGCTGTTAACTTACTGTAAACAGTCTACATTTATTTTGAAGTAAGATTTTTTAAGTCAAAGCAAAGTTTGCTGTTGTTCAGGTCTGCAACATTTTATGTTTATCCAACTATAGTAACTGAAATATCCCTACCTGGTCAGTGGACCACTGCTTATAGTATAAGCGTGTGTGCCCATTTTCTTTTACAAATTTGAAGCAGTGTGGGCGAGAGTGACCACTAATAGTCTCTAAGTGTGGTGTAATCCACGAGCTGACATCATATATGTTTTCAATCTGAAAAAATCACATTTCAATTTCAAGTTTATTCAATTATATCTATATCCTCAGATAGTTAAAGTTCTAAAAGTATGTGAATTATTATTTCCAATCTCATTTAGTTTTTCAGATTACTTTCATTCGTCTCTTGATCTTGCTTTTTCTATCTAAATATATTTCACTGTAATAATATAGTACAATTGACGATATATATTATCACATCTCAAATTATATGATGGACTGTGATTGGTCAGATCAAGGATGTACATGTGATAATGTTAAAATTCCTGGATGAGCCAAATGATATTTAATGCATTTCGCGAGTATAGATATTCATATGTTCAGGAATTTCGAAATATTCACTCTGTATTTCAGATTTTGTTAAATATTGTTGATTAATATTCATGTTATGAATGCAAAATTGCACAATGGACAAATATAATGTTCTCATAAAACATCACCTTCTGCTCTGGCTAGTTGGATACTATTTTTCCTCTAGGTGATATCTCATATATCACACTCCATCATGTAATAATGCGATATTATTATGATTTAGAGGCCGCTAATAAATACCTCATTTTTAGCTCATCCAGATTTATCAGATTATCATCGTTCTTGTATTTAAGCTTAAAGCAGGCTTATATTTTTTTTCAACACTCTAGCACCTAAAACTTACTAAGTGAACTTTTAGGAGCCATAGGCTCGACATGCATTTGGCCTTTAACAGAAACCTTGGCAACATCGTCTTTGCCTTGTCCATACTGTCGATAATGATGGACATATATCTGTCACTGTCATCCTTGGCTTTTCCGATGTGCTTATAGTATTTTCTACGTTCGGTACTGCAATATATGTGCATATTATCATTGGTATCATATTATACTTATTGATAAACCAAAAATATTTTTCTTAAGATAGTTTATCAAAGATTATACATGTATTTGTATCACACCATTGGGTATTAAGATAACAAATGCTAGTTACTTAACTGAAAGCTTCAGTATCTCTTAGAAACCCTGTTTTGCTTAATCTTTGCCTTTGAATTTCTTTAATTTTGAAACTTATTTATAATAATTAATAAAGATCGCTTAAAATGAATAAGATGCTTACTTTTGTTGTTTAAGGTGTGCATCGCGCTGTGAAGCAAGGGCCATGCGTGCCTTTTTACCTTTGGTCCTTGAAAGTTTGTCCTGGATATTCACACAGGTGTCACATTTGTTGAATTTCGAAGCCTGTAATATAAGGAAGATCAATGTACACGTCAACGCCATCTGTACAAAATAGGCAGGGCAATTGCAAAAGTCAATACACTGACAGTGACTGAGAAACTATTTACAATTCAAAATGTGTGAAATACAGTATTTACATCACATAGTATATAGCCTTTGCTTCAAAAGATTCAGCAGAAACTGAACAAACATCGCTATTAGAAATGAGGTACTATATTCAAAATGCCTTCTTAAGTAGTTCGATGGGATAAAAAGTAACAAACAAATACTTTATGCAAATAAAATCAAAAGCTTTATAGTTAGGCTGAATCACTTGAAAAACCCTCCCAATAATTCTTTTTATGATAGAAGCACCAAAATCGGTACAAGTGTAGCTGATTGTAATTGAAAAAAAATGGCTCGAGGCAGCAAGTGATCCGGAGCCTCGTTTTGGAAAAAATTCAAAATGGCCGCCAGTCTGTTTGTGATTTTGCCGATTTCTATTAAAATCTCAAGATCCTCTAAAATATTAATGAAAACTGCATAGAAACCTCAAGAAGTGGCTTTGAAATGAATCTTTTTTGATGAACTGACATTTAACTTGAGTTTCAAATGTAAAACGGCGTAAAACAAGGTTCAGTATTATGACCTGTACTATTAAGTTCATAAATGACATATATTGTTATTCATCAAAAATTGTTAACCAAAGACTGAGTACTTACATAATATTGGATAATAAGATCTCTTACTTCTACTGAACAACTTGTATAAGAGAATATATTCAGCCACATATCCAAAATAAGGGGGTTATTGTTACAGTACCAGTTAGATGGTGCTACAATGCGAAAATGTCAATGCTGGGGCAATTTATGTTTGATAAATTGTCACAATTTGTGTTTGATAAATTGTCTATGTTCTACATTTTTGATCACCATCTTTCTCAAATCTCAAATATTTTGTCCTTTATTGTTACTCTCACTAATCAGTGCAAAGTCCACTGCACTTACAAAGGTCTGTGCATTTTGCCCAGCCAGCTTTTTTACATGAACAATACTAAGGACGATACCCCTTGCTGCATTGACACTTTATGAGTTCTCTGCATGCTATTGACGTTTGCTGAAGAGTAGACCAAAAAGTGGAATTACGTGATCACCATCATCCTCCTCCGAGCCAAACTTCAAATAATCCTGGACACCACCTGGGCGAGGATCCAGTATTTGGCCTCAAACAATCCCTCCTAAAAATCTCTCCTAATATGCTGCTCCAAAGCTGCCTTAGTCAGAGGTATCTTGTCAATCTGTCTTCCCTTCTTGGTGAAAATATATTTTCTGGTTGAGTTAATATCAGTTGTTGAACTTGTCCTGTCATAGAGAACAATGACAAATATCTAAGCACAAGTGCCAAAGGGAAAGGACCAAAAGTTGTAATGGAACTCGGCAAGAAAAAACAAACTCTAAGTGCATACCAGTCAAGAAAAACAAACCTCATATATCCCAAAACCATGATCTAACGTGAAAAGAAACAATGTATAATACCCCCTTTGCCCCTACCATTCAAGAACCGATATCACAATCCAAGACCAGAACACCAAGGGACATTTCATTCATACTGAAGTCATTACAATACATGTTAAAGAAAAAATTAGAAATTGATAGCCAATACTCATAACATCAAAAATAGTTGTAGATACAAGTACTCATACAAGATAGAGCATTCAGTCTCAAATGATGTGGGATAGATAAAATCCAGTCTCCAAGTCCATAGGAATTTCAAAGGGTCAACAACCATTCAAAAAAGCCGTCGCCATAATCCATAAAACACAATAATTCACAATGGTTGTGAAACGTTCCAATAGAAATAGAGCTTCTTCTGCTATGTGATGTGGGTTTTGTTTTAAAGCGAGGAATGCTTCTGTTACTTCTGGATATTTATTCCATACTGTCCAACATTATTTTTTCCATGCCCAAAGAATGACGATGTCCTATCACGCCCAGTAAATGCATGGAAAACAGGGAGACATTCAGATTTGGTAGGTCCAAGAGCTCTTGCCATCTCATGAGCAGCCAAATACCTATAGTTTTTCCCAGTTCCAAATGCAACCCATATGCTAATACCTAGTTGGGCAGAGGCAGCTACAGCAAGGACAACTATATCAGTATCATTGCTTCTGATAAGTATTCTGGCAAACCCTCTTCTAGCCATAAGGGCAATGTGGACAAACATTTTGGTATCTGCTTCTTCATGAGAACATGGCTCCAAGTCATTTGTATCACTAATTGCAGGATTGCAAATCACCTTCTCACCAATATTGGTCACAATCTGTTTATATGCATCTAATGGAAGACTTGATAGTTTGTAGGCTAACTACCAAACAACTGTTGCTTGTTGGAGTCATCTCTCAAGTAAGACTGCCAGTTTCTGGGCACAGTGTTACCAAGATACGTGAAGGTCATCCTTCTGTCACCTTTCCCACGCTTCTGTCTCGTCATCGTCTTCAGGCTCCTTGCCAGGTACTCATTCCAAATTATATCGAGGCGATCAACATGTTGCAGCTAACCTTGGATGTAGGGAAGGAAAACATCAGTGGCATAATCCTCAACGGTCTTTGCTGTAGTTGGTTCTAGAAGGTGTACTGAACATGCACCATCTATTATTTCAGCAACAACAGGCCTATCTTTTCCCCAAGGGACAATATCCTCCATGCAGTTAAGTAGCTCTGATTTCTCACCATTTCTGAGGACACCATACTTTGCCAGTGAAGGTGGATACTCCTGGTTCTCATGCATGAGAAAGTCATCAAGATCAATGTTTCTTGTCTGGCATGTGATGTATAATTTGGAGAATAAATCACAGTCATTTCTCATTTTCTTGATTTGAGATTTCTGATTTGTTCTTTTGGGTATTTTGCTGCTAAACATTGCGATCTTGTGGCGTTTTATGGGTGTATCCAATGGTTCAGTTCTCTCCACAAGACATTCAGTTGTATACCTAGTGAAGCTTTGGTTGCCAATGTCTTCTATACTTCTGATGGTGTCACTTACTGATACATACATCTTCACCTGACACAAGGAAGGGATTGCCTAGTTTATCAGTAGTAGTCACAACAGCAAATACATCATCTCTAAATTTCTGTTGGATGCTTGCTGTTTGCTCGTGGTGGCTAAAGTCTTCGTTGGCTTTCATGTCTCCTATACTTGAGACTTCTTCAAACTCTTTGATGATCTAGGATATTGCAGGACCAGCTGTCATCCATCGTTTCAGTGCAGTAGGATTATCTGTTATTCCTATAGCCCCACCAGAACCCTTAATCAGAGCATTATTTGCTCATGGACCTGGTCTATAGGGATGGTTGAGAATGACATAGGTGTCTTCTGAACTGTAAAGAGACCTTCATTGAAATGCTGATACAGGTCAGGGTGAGTTGTCTCCAATTGGACCATGTCCCTTAGGTGTATTGGGAGCCATCTGGAATAGTGTGTATGATCTAATGCAAAAAAAAACAGGGCATCATCTTGGTCAAAACACAGGCCCGTAGCCAGGGGGGGGGGGTTCGCAGGGTTCTGGCGAACCCCCCTGGCCAAAAATTCTTTCAAAGTCATGCAGTTTTTCACAATTTTGAGCACTTCTCAAGTGATTTTAGTCATATTTGGGCCAAAATTGTCAAATGTGAACCCCCCCTGGAAATCTTTGAAAACTGAACCCCCCTTGGCAAATCCTGGTTACGGGCCTGAAACAGATATGTAGAGTTTAAAGTCTGCCTATCTCAGGGATCTAACAAAGATCATAAGCATAATTTAAAGGCCCTGTGTTAAAGCCCAGTATTTGAAATGGGGGGAATTGGCTTCCCCTTCCCTTTTCCATTCTTCAAAGGATAGGGGGGCTACATCTCTGAGTTGGGCAGCAGCTAGGTATATGTTGAAAGCTTTCTTCATTAGGATGTGGAGCGCTGCCAACGTAATTTGATGTGCTCTTCTAGTCTTGGATATATGGCTTCCCTTTAGGAAGGACTCTGCAGTACCAACTGATGCTGTATTTGACTGAGCAATAACGGTACATTTACCCAACTGTTGTCTGTCATCCAATCACCAACTACCTTCTGGAATGCCATTTCTATATGGAGACCTCCAAACATGATCAAGTATTTATCTTCCCCATGTGTATCAGGGTATATCTATTGAATGGTTTTCAGGGAAGCAAACAATGGTTGGTCAGCCGAAAGCACTGGTATTTGACCAGGATTTACTATATGTATGTCACGTTTGACTATGTACTTACCATGTTGTAACATGACTAGAGATTTTTTCCAAAAGAAAAAATATTTAATCCCTTCAGTGCAGAGTCTATCCAGCATTTATTCTCAATCATATGTGTGACTCTCATATTGATATGTAATAATTATGAGTAATTCAATAAAAGCTTATAAAATAGTACAAGGCTTAATACTGAGCCTTGCTGAACACCCGTTTTAATAGTTAAATATAATATAAAGGAGTTCCTATATCACAAGCAACTGTCTGGAATTCCCTTAAACAAATACAATTGGTTTAGAGCTAAAATACAACATTAATTCAAAGAGAATTCAAATTTCTTAAAAATCTATATGTATCGGCGGCCATCTTGGATTTTCTTCAGAACGAGGCTCCGGATCACTTGCTGCCTCGAGCCAATTTTTTTCAATTGCCTTCAGTTACACTTGTACCAATTTTGGTGCTTCTATCATAAAAAGAATTATCGTAAGGTGATTAGGCTTAGCTATTATGGAAATTGTAATATTATCAATCCACGTTTTAAATGTTAATTAGAAAAATGTAATGGCTAATGTAATAACAGTATGATAAAGAATAATTTCTTACTTTAGGAGCTTTTACATGGCTGAAGTATTGCTTCCAGAGCCTTCAGAATGTTGATTCTGATACTGTCAGAGATTCCGCCCCCATTTGTGTTTTGTAGTCATTGAAAATGTCTGTTTTTGTCAAACACACTGGCAGATGTATATTCAACGAATCAGGCAATTTGTCACCGAATTGTGCTGCATACCTGTAATAAGCAAATCTTTACAATGGACTACACAGCTCTTTCTAACTAAGAAATTGACGAATTATAAACATTGAGTGTATTAAAAAACATGAGGTTTATAAGGGGAAAACACCCCCAGCCAATCAATAATGCAAGGGCCCATCGTTGCTGCAAGAACTGAAGTATATTTTGCTGAATTTAAGCATAATTGAAGTCCTTTGAAGCCGGATGGACATGTCTAGATTAATGTTCTTTTTGGCTTCTAAAATTAGATTTCATGGGACCAGTTACCTTTCAATCCAAGCAATAGCCTCCATAGACGGTATCCCATGTCCTCTCCCATTTGGTAAAGGCGCCAAAAGACTACCTCCTATAATTAAAATTGCAAAAATTATTAGTATGTTGTTGCTAGCTCTTAATTTGCCCTTGTCCCATTAATAAGCCTTAATTATAATGATTTTTATAGTATGAAACTGCTTATACTTACCAATGAATCTCTTTCTAATGGCATAGAATGTTGAGCTTGCCAGTCCAAGTATAGCCAGCCATGCATTCAAGCATATTGGATAGTTGGGTAAACCTTCTATGTAAAAGGAACTTCCTTCGTATTCGCCATTCTCATCAAAACTGAAAGTTCATAAAAATGTTATTTCAAGTTAAGTCTCATGCAGGAATGAAGACGGCATTACATTACATTAAATTGGAAACGTTAATATTAAAGAAATATACATAAAATAGATACCATCTTATGTTGGGGTTTAAGTTTTTGTGTTTCTTACCTCATGTGTATGTCCAACCATCAAGAAAGACACTTTAATTTTTCTAAATACCCCCATTTGAACCAAGAGCGCAAAAAAGCCAAACGTGTATCTGCAAAAAATCAGTATAATATCAAGTTATTCTGTAGTGATTCTCAGACTCAAGTGATAGGCAATTTTTGTTTAGTACTAAATAGTCATTACACTGAGCCAATTGCTTAAATCCTTAATTATTGATAATACCTTGAGGTTCTTTTAAGTGTATCAAGCACATACTGGTGCTTTTCAGTTGCAGTCAGGCCCTGGAAGTATTGCCTGGAATCACTCATGCTGCTGGCCTGGAATCACTCATGCTGCTGACCTGAAATCAGATTATTGATGACTATGATTATGTACATACTGTATCGTGTTCATTCAATCAAACAGTGCGTTCAGTTTAAGGTAGTTTTGTATGTCCAGAATTTATATGCAATCTTCGTTGAAGTTACAAATGGACGAACGTACACACTGACCTTAACTTAAAATGTAACTGATAAAACAACAAAACGAGCAGCAAAACACCGCAACTAATTGCTGAATAGACAGGAGTTTAGGATCTGAAAATACATAAAATAGTTTGTATGCAAACAGGGACAATATAGAATATTAAGCATAGTCTGTACATCACACTTTAAATTTGTTTGCCTTTTTGTATGCTGTCAATATTTATTATATGAATTTTGTTCTGATGATGTAAATGATGTAGTCGAAGTTTTAGTCGTAGCCGTGTATGTTTTGATACATGTCAATAAAAGATACATACTATTATATAATATATGGTGATCTAACTTACAAGTAGCATGAAATGTTGTTTCTTTTATTAAGGAAATGACTTTTTGAACTGACTTACTATGTTTCTTTGATGCTTTGTTCACAAAGGCTTCCTCTGTAAAAAAGATAGATAATGCCAATAAAAATATGGAATATACAATTAAATTTAGAGGTTTGATATAAAATGTGCTTACTTTGATCACATATGATTTCAAATTAGTAATAAATAAATAAATAAATAAATAACGCGCATGAATGGTTACATCATTATTTACTGCTTCCATACCTATTTTGTTCGACAACAAAATATCATCCTCATCAAAATCACTGCCCTCGTCTGGCTCCATCTCCATGTTGTTGTTGTTGTTGTTGTTGTTAGACGCTGCATATACACTCTCTCTCCAGCGAAATGGAGCTACAGGTACCGTCTTCATGATCTGAAAATATTATACTATTATTTCATCGAATGTGATCAATAAAACTATGGCAACTGTCTCACAAAATGTGCTGAACAGAGCAGGGGATTCCCCGTTGGTTTCAGATGCTTTGAAGTTGTTGAAAGGGGAATACCCTTAATCGAATGAATGAATGTAATAACGTCATGGGATTGTTCTTAAGAGAGCAGGGGATTCCCCGTTGGCCTCAGTAGCTTTGAAGTTATTGAAAGGGGAATACCCTGATAGGATGAATGAATGTAATTACGTCATGGGATTGTTCTGACAAGAGCAGGGGATTCCCCGTCGGCCTCGAGCTCAGTAGCTTTGAAGTTGTTGAAGGGGAATACCCTTAATCGAATGAATGAATGCATTGTCGATATTATTGGCCCCGGTGTAAAAGGGTAGGTGGTTCTATCAAATTATTGTCCTACTCTCGATTGATTTTTATGGTGACCTAATTACCATTATTTTCCTTATTATTTAGGCTATACACTGAATAAGGGCCAGTAAGGGCCGTTAGGAAAGGGGACCATAATTTATTTCACACCGGCATCGATCGCTATCTCTTATTTGTCACTTATGTGACTTTTCCGATGGTCGAAAGATAAGATGCGTGAATCACTGAATGTTTAACAATGAACAACCAGTCAGGGGGAGTGAGCTTACCTTCCTGCTGTTGGTCAACGTCCATCGGTGTGGTTTCCATGATAACCGCCCACAGATATGCATGAATTAACAGCTGAGCTGGAGCGAAACCCTAGTAGACTCCCGAAAATCCTATGATAATGGCGTTATGTTTTAGTTCGGGAAAGTAACGTCACAAATGCGAGGCCCAAATTTGGAATGTGTGGCAAAACTGTGACGTCACTACTAGGTTGTTAGCAACGGTAATCATCAAATCTCCAATATACTGAGGCTACGACGTCACGAATACTGAGGCTACGACGTCACGAATACTGAGGCAACGACGTCACACGCAAAAGGGATAGCCTACTATAGACCGCCCGCCATTATTCACATACGCGCATAGTC